CTGGGGACCGTCTCCAGCAGACCAGGGACACCGGGAGCAAAGGAGGCGGAGGGGCGCTGGGGTATAAGACGAAACCCTATCTTTTAACTAAAAAATTAGGGGGTCGTCTTATACGCCCAGTCGCCTTATACGCCGGAAAATACGGTAATAATAAAATAATAATAATTCGCATTTGGTTTTTGCAGCTCACAGTCATTCTTGCCTTGCCTTTGTCGTGGCAACGAAGTCTGCAATGCAGCCCGTCCTCTGTAGCTCCCACGTGGCCAAGGCCTTGCCGATTTCCAAATGGGACAAATGCCCCAGGAAGTCCAGATTTAACCCCCCCACCCCACCCCCACGGAGAACGAGAAGGGTTTATTCGATTGTTGTGGAAAGTTGTTTGCTGCCAGATCCCACTTAGTTACCAGGAGCCCAATTCTGAAGGGACTGTAAACCTACAGGAACCAGCATGCCAAGTTCCCCCCTGCACCCGTGTCAGGACCAGTGGCGGGGGAGGAAAAAGAGAGAAAGAGTTGCAACTCTAATTAAATGACCCCATGGCAGGCTAGAGCTTTTGCTAGTTTCCCTGACTCCGGGGCCCTGGCCATTGCTTCATCAGGGACCATTAGATTCAACCACCTCTCCTCAGACGCCCACTTCCTCGGTATACCCCCTCTCTGGCCAGCCAGTGCCTGCCTGCGCTGGAGGGCTCCTGCGGAGGCAGGGCAAACTGGATCATAGAGTGTAAGGCTAGAAGGGACCACCAGATCACCTAGTCTGATGGCCTGTGTATCACAGTCCTCCAACACCCGCTCACTAAACCCAACCAGAGCATGGTCGCTGCCAGAAGATTCAAGTCTTACGTGCTGCCGGCAGTGAACTCAATAACTGAGATAATCCCAGCGAGTGACCCTCATCCACCCACTGCCGAGGACGGTAAAGAAAGTCCGGCGGTGATGCTGCCAGCCCACCTCGTGCCAAGGTTCACGTGTCTCGATTGACTACAGGCGGATACCGCGCTGGAACCAGTCTGGCTCATGACAGCGTTCGCATTATTAAAACAGGGATTAGGGTTATAAGAATGTGTTTAGACTTTATTAAAAGCTTGTGAGTTGCCGTCTACGTTAATCTCCCTCGTCACACCGGGCTCGAAATGTATTCCACGTTGTAAGGGAATATTTGAGTGTTTGCATTGGCAGCCTCTAGCGCGGTGTAAATCACCAAGCAGAGGAGACACATTTATGAGGGTAAAGGGCTGACCTCCAAACAAAAGGGGTTACAATGTGTTTAGACTTTATTAAAAGCTTGTGAGTTGCCGTCTACGTTAATCTCCCTCGTCACACCGGGCTCGAAATGTATTCCACGTTGTAAGGGAATATTTGAGTGTTTGCATTGGCAGCCTCTAGCGCGGTGTAAATCACCAAGCAGAGGAGACACATTTATGAGGGTAAAGGGCTGACCTCCAAACAAAAGGGGTTACACCCTGCCCCCCCCCGGACGCATGCCGGACTATTATGGGACACGCAGG